GTGTGGAAGCTGGCGAGTCCGAAATCTGCATGCTGACAGATTGTAAGCCCAGGGAAGAGATGGCGCTGCAGTCTGAGTCTGAAGGCAGGGCATTGAAGAACTCCCTCTTCTTTGAGGAAGGTCCATAATTTTCATTAAGGCCTCAACTAATAGGATGAGGCCCGCCAACATTATGGAAAATGATCTGCTTTACTCAAAGTCTACTAATTTAAATGTTAATCTCATCTAAAAATACTTTTAAAGAATCCTTCAGAGTAACGACTGACCAAATATGTCTGGCCTAGCTAAGTTCCCATAAAATTAACGATTACATTTGGCAGCAAGAAAATGTCCAGCAAAAATCAAACGGTGACATTTTATTATACTGATACAACAGAGTACTCACTAACCATACAAATGTGTATGCCAGAACTCAAAATGGACAAGGTCCAAAACAAAATTTTGAATAAAAAATTCTAATTGCAGATGTATGTAGTATAATGCCATTTATATCCTACTAAAACATATAAAAAGTAATACTACATATTATATACATATATGTAGCAAGAGAAAGAGAGACAGAGGGAAAGACAAAGATAGAGATAATTTAAAATATTTCATTCATAAAAATGTGAACAGTATTACTTACTCTATAAAAAATAATTGAAAAATAACATGTACCAGTTATGTATTTTTTTAGAATTTTTTTTTTTAATTCTTACCCGAAGACATTTTTGCATTTATCTTCACATACATCGGGAGGGAGAGAGGGAGGAAGAGAGAGAGAAACATTGATGTGAGAGAGGCACATCGACTGGTTGCCACCCACACGACCCCAACAGAGGCTGGGGACAAACTGCAACTGAGGCACGTGCCCTTAGCGGAGACTCTCTAGTCTGCAGGCCGATGCTCTAACCGCTGAGCCAAACTGGCCAGGGCGTGTATTTTTTTTCTTAAATAAAAGCATTTGATTTTATTCACATTCCCATATGTAATCACCTAGTTTATGGATGTTTTCAGTCACCGGACCATCTGAGGCATGGCATGGAAGGTGGTTATTTTTAAGTCTATAAATAACCTTCTCAATTCATTTTCAAATGAGCTGAACACAACTCAGTTATCCCTGAACGCGCTCGTAGGTGAGCGGGTGATTGAGTTCCTGTTACAGGAAGAACAATGGCCCTGAAAAGATTACGCATTACCCAGTTGTGTTACATACCAGGGTGAGCTAAGTGGTAGATGGGAATGAGATGGCTGGTCAAGTAATCATAAAATGGGAACATTATCCCTGATTATCGGGTGAGCACCTTGCAAGCCCAAGGGTCCTTTGAAGGAGGGAGAGGGAAGCAGAAGACCTGGGGCCAGAGGTGCAAATGCACAACCAAAGCATTGGCTGGTTTTGAACGTGAGAAGAGGCCATTTGTCAGGGAATAACGGAGTCTCCTCCTAAACGTGGAGAAGTCAAGGAAAAGGCTTGTATCCTAGCGCCTCCAGAGAGGAAAAAGAGCCTCCCAATACCTTGATTTAATCTGGGGTGTCAGTCTGCTGGGGTGCCATAACCACACACTCCAGACCAGCAGACTGACACACACTTTATTTTCTCACAGTTCTCGAGATCTGGAAGTCTTAGCTCAAGGGGCCAGCGTGGTTGGCTTCTGGTGACAGCTCTCTTCCCGACGTGTCGATGGCCACTGCCTCACCACCATGTCCTCACAAGGCCTTTCCTCGGCGCGTGTGCACAGAGAAGACCCTGTGCTCTTTTTATGAGGACACCAATTTCATCGGATTAGGGCCCCATCCTTTTATCTTCATCGAACCTTAATTACTTCCCTAGAGACCTCATCTCCACATATAGTCATACCGGCATTAAGAATTCAACATATGGCCCTGGCCGGTTTGGCTCAGCGGTTAGAGCGTCGGCCTGCGGTCCTGAGAGACCCGGGTTCAGTTCCCGCTAAGGGCACGTACCTCGGTTGCAGTTTGTCCCCGGCCCTGGTCGGTCGTGCGGGTGGCAGCCACTCGATGTGTTCCTTTCACATCGATGTTTCTCTCTCTCTCTGTTCCTCTCTCTCCCTCCCACTCTACCTGAACAAAAAATGAAAAAATGTCCTCGGGTGAGGATAAGAATTCAACATATGAATTTGGGGGGGCATTCAGTCCACAACACCTATTCAGTCCACAACACCTATTAAGACCCCTTTCAGACTTTTGACTCCCAGAAATATAGGACAATAAATTTGTATTGTTTAAAGCCACTAAGTATGAGGTGGTTTGTTACATCAGCGATACAAAACTAATATACATTTTGGTATCTGGAAGTGGGGTGCTACTATAACAAACACCTAAAAATGGAGAAGTAGTTTTGGGATTTGGAAGTGGACAGAGGCTGGAAGAATTTTGAGGAGCTTGATAAAAAAAAATTAAGGTTGCCTTAAATAGACTGTTCACAGAGGACATGAAGAGCATGGTAGAGAAAATATGTACTCTCTTAGGTATTATCTGTATCGTCAGGCACAGATCGATGGTGGAAATATGGATGTCAGGCACTGAAGGGGAGAGCTCAGAGGACACTGGAGAACATGTTGGAAAATAGAAGAGAGGGCATCTTTTAACACTATAATGCCAGGAAGCTTAGCTGAATTTTGTGTTGCATAACTGTGGAGTTACCACTTTATTATTTATGAATTAATAAATATCTTCTATGGAGAAATACATTGGCTTTCATAGACAAGCTGGCTTTAAGCATCTGGTTTGCAAATCTAGGTTGGTTTCCAACATGGGTAAATTTATAAGCTCTCCCTTGGTCCAATTAAGAAACTTTCTTCCACATAGACGTAAAGGTTGATTGAAGTTTAACATGAATGCTTAGTATAGAGAGAAGTTCGGAGGTCTGTGGCCAGTTGACGGCTGGTGTCATCTTGTGGCCATCCTGCTTGTATATCCGGAGCTTGTACTTCCACCGGGTGTTGTCCAGGTGATAGTGTTTCATCTGGTCTGGTGCCCCTGATTCTCGCTCCCTTCTTTGCTCCATTTCGATGCCAGGAAGCTAAGAAGAGAAATCAAGGCCTCTGTGCCCAGATGCTATTCCATACCGCTCTGAGACAAGAATGGTCCCCAGTTTGGCGTCTTGTGTGTAGATGTCCCCTCTCTTCCAAGAAGAGAATCAGCCTTTATCTGTGGGTTCAGAATGAATTTTGTATGTCATTTAAAGCCACAACACAGAATTACACTTTAGCCAGTTTTCTACATTGGCCGGAGCCACATCTCTCATTTAAAACTAGGATCCTTGCTGACACGAAAGCACTTTTCGTTTTCTCCTTTGGTTTACTGTGGGAACCTGCTCAAGTGGCTTGACTTATATCACAACATTTAAACCTCATATTGACCTTTTGAGGTAGATACTGTTATGCCCACTTGACAATTGAGGAAATTGAGACATAGTGCAGCATAATGCTAAGTGAAATAAGCCAGTCTGAGAAAGACAAGTACCGTACGGCTTCACTCATATGTGGAGTCTAACAAAGAAAATGCACTAACAAGCAAAAGAGAGACAGAGTCGTAGACAGAGGACAGGCTGGCAGCTGAGGAGCAGGGGTTGGGGGGTGGCTGTATGGGGTATGGAACTGAGCAAAAAGGAAAAGAAGAAACTCATGGACATGGACAAGCGTGGTGATTGCTGGAGGATCAGGGGAAGGTGGCGGAAGGGAAAGGGGGGAATACATGGTGATGGACGGAGATTTGACTTGGGGTGAACACACCATACAGCGTACAGATGATGTGTTACAGAGTTGTACATCTGAAACCTGTGTACTATTGTTAACCAATATCACCCCAATAAATTAAATAAAAAAGAAAAAATAAATAAAATATATTAAGAAATGGTCAATATATTTTTTTATTTCAGTTATTTGGTTACTGGTATAAATAATAATAGATTAATATTGAAGTTTTTAGTCTGTGAAGGATTATGTATATCCATTAGTGCCTAGAGTGATTTTATTATGTTCAAGGATGATAGGACCTAATCATTTCATATTAAAAACAACTTCAGTCCGGCCAGTGTGGCTCAGTGGTTGAGTGTCGACCCAGCACCAAGAGGTCACCAGGACATGTTCCCAGGTGGTAGGCTTGATCTCCAGTGGGGGGCATGCAGGAGGTGGCCAATCGATGTTCTCTCTCATCCATGTTCTCTCTCATCCATGTTCTCTCTCATCGATGTTCTCTCTCATCGATGTTTCTATCTCTCTCCCTCTCACTTCCTCTCTCTGTAAAATCAATAAAGGAAAAAAAATTAAAAAAAAAAAAAAGACTTCAAAAAGTATAACAATACCACAGTTTTAGAGGGAGTCTTTAAAATGTGTCCTTCTTCTTTGGAATAGAATCATGTCTTTCTTTGTCCACTAAAAACCTTCAGAAACTGGTAACTTATTGTCTTATCAGTATGAAAATCTTATTTATAATACCAGATTAGATTATAGGAGGTTAAATATGGTGAAAATTCCTGAATCTTACTTTTCCTTGATAATATGCATATTAAGTACTATCTGAACATAATTGTAAAGGAGACTGAAATTATGTTAATATTTAATTCTTGAATATACATCATTCGCAAGATAATATTAATTGTTACAAATGAAGTAAACTACAACTAGATTTAATAAAGTATAATTTTATATTATAATTATATTAATAGTCTATTTTTGTTATAAAACTGGAAAATAAATTAGACTATAATTCAAAGGAATTTTGCATAAGAAGTTTCATGTCTAAAGGTAAAATGTCCTATGTCATTTCTCCCAAATACACAATGGACACTCAAAAAAAAAATGTATAATAACATTTATAAGCCATGATACAGAAAATAAACAATATAATTTAAAAGTGAAATCACATACCTGGACTACAGGAATCACAGAGTAATTCACACATTATAATTATTATTTTTTTTAAATCACTGATTTTTCTGTTAGACATTCCCAAATGGTATAGACACTTCAAATTCTGAGACATTCATTAATACACTAACACAATTTTGCTTTCAGGCAAAAATTCAATGTTCGAGTAATGTAACTATTTTCAAACAACATAAAATCCTAGATAAAAACAAAAACACAAAAATGAGTTTTCAGCAGCAAAACAGATACTTCTCTGATGTAGAAATGCTAAGTGTTCTGAGGAAGACACTACTGTATTTCTTACACAAGAAAATTTAACTGTAATTAGTAAATCTGAGAAACGTCAAGAGCTATATAAGCCCTACCTCCAGCTTTCTATTTTATTAAAATAAAATCCTTTAATTCTATTCATTTGTTGGTATCTGTATGAATTTACATACCTTTTGTTAATTTAAATATTTGCCGATTTCTAGTCCCCTAGAAATTTTCCTCTTTCAATTTTTGTTACTCAATGTTTTTAGGCCTTCTCTAGTCATATGACTTTTTCTACAACTAGAGTTCTGTGTAAAACACACCATATATTTCATGTTACCCTGCCATTAGTTGAACTGTTGAACTGTTCCCACAAGGTTAAGGTTAGATTTTTATTTTTTTGTGTGAAATACACACTTACTGGGAAAATTTTTACGAAGAACCTTGGTTATATAAAATCTTATTACAGAAACTATTAAGAATATCCCAAATGAGATGAAATAGCATAATAAAGTCCCAACAACCCCTCACCCAGCTTGAATGATTAACATGACCAATTCTGGTCCAACAATTACTCTATCCCCTACTCCCCCCTGCCCTCAACCCATTATTTAAAGGAAAACCCTGATATATAAGTTTATACTGATATACTTCAGTATGTGTCCCTAAAAAGTATGGATGGTGTTTTCCTTTTACATAGCCTCAATATCGTCATCACAGCTTAAAAAACTCCATAATTAAAAAAAAAAATTTTGTTAATCTTCACCTAAGCATATTTTTTCCACTGATTTTTAGATAGAGTGGAAGAGAGGAAGGGAGAGAAAGGGAAAGAGAAAGAGAGAAAAATGGATGTGAGAGAGACACATCAATTGGTTGCCTCCTAAACAACCTTGACTGGAGCCAGGGACTGAACCTGCAACCCAGGTATGTGCTCTTGACTGGGAATCAAACCCACGACCCATTGGTCTGCAGGCCAAAGCTCTAACCAAGCCAAACTGGCCAGGGCAAATGACACCTTAGTTTTTAGTGGGGTTGGAAGGACGAGTGATAAACATGAAAGGGATTAAGAAGAACAAATTGCTAGTAATAAAAATAGTCATGGGAATGTATAGTACAGCATAGGTAATATAGTCAGTAATATTGTAATAAGTCTGTATGGTGGCGGATGGTTCCCATACTTATCCTGTGAGTCACATCATAAGGTATACAAATGTCTACTCAGTATGTTGTACACCTAAAACTAATATAATATTATGTCAACTATAACTGAAAAATTAAAAAAAAATTTAAAGTTAAAAATCAAATCTAAAAAAAATTCAACCTTAATTTATTGATATAATCAAAAGCCAACATTCAAATTTCCCTAAATGTGTTATAAATATTTTAAAATTGATTTATTCAAACCAATATTCAAACATGGTCTACAAATTGTACTAAGTTTATGTCTCTCCCTTTTTCATTTTATTTTTACATTTTTATTTTCCTGGCATTTATTTGTTGAAGGAACTGGATCCTTTTGCTGTATACTCTCTCATGTTTTATTAATTGTTTCCTGCGTGCATCCCCGAATGAATGCTCAAGATATTCATCCAGTGGTTCCAAACCTGCTTGCAGACTGGAGTCACCGGGGAGGGACCTGCCGGCTTGGTCCATCTCCAGAGGCCGTGATTCGCTGTCTGGTGCATCGGGACCCAGGGGTGTGAAAAGCTACCCCGGCGTTTCCACCGCAGCTGAGGCTGAGAACCACTGCTCCCCACCAGGAGTCCTCGACTGGCTGCTTATTGAATCAGCTGGGGAGCTACACACACTTCTGATTGTGAGCTTCTGATTGAACTGAACTGCGGGGTGACTTGGCACTTGGGTTTCTGAAATCTTCTGTGTGGTTCAGTGGAGGACAAGTTCAGAATCACTGCGCAACCCCATGTGTGTCAACGGGCAGTGCCATGGGGGGCTGGACTGGATGCGCTCTTACTGCAGACACACCCCTGTAGTAGAGAGTTTCACTGAATAATGAATCAAGACGGACCTCCCGGTTTCACTGGGTTCTGCTCCATGTGAGCGATATCTGAATGCACCCATTTTAAGTTTTAAATAGAAGCCCCAAAGAGAGGGCCTCTCGGTAATGCACAAAGTCTTTCTGTTGCCACGTGAAACTGAGCAGAATTTCCAGGGAAACTAGTCATCTGTGAATCCAGACTATCAGGAGCAAATGGGATTTCAGAGCTAGGATTAAATGGGACCCTGCTTGAATAAAACCTGTAAGTGTAAGCGGGTCATTTAAATAGGTCAATTTACTGCCCGGCGGGTTCGGTTGGAGTTTGGTCCCAGACCTGGTCAGGGTCGTGGGGGAGGCAGCCAGTAGATGTTTCTCTCTCTCTCCCACTCTATCTGAAGATAAATAGAAAAATATCCTAAGGTGAGCATTTAAAAAAAAAAGGTACAGTTTACGGAATCTTTTCAGGGCACTAAGGCCAGGAGCCTCAGACTCACGATGAGGAAGCACGCGCCCAGGGTCACCGCCTTCATCTTCGCGTCCAGGTCGGCAGGGAACTGGACGGTGAAGTCCGAGTAATCTGTGAGGAGCTCTCTCACCAGACTGGTCCACAGCTTGGAAATCTTGCCAACTACATTTTCTTTATCAAGAGATTGGATCTAAGTTGGAAAAAAAAAAAGTCTTAAAGAACTCCAGAAAATAATAAATCACCTTTCAAATTTGGAATAAAGTGAAACAAGTATGTTATTAAACTTACATGCAATATGTAACTATGAACATTTTATCACTCATTGGATACATATAAATTCCTGTATCTATTTATAGATGCATGAAAAAATTTCTTTGCTGTATCCAACTTACACGAAAACAGTTTTTTTTGAAATATTTAAGATTTTGTGTTTCATAGTAAGACAGACAGTACTTAATCATTTTAACTGATCTAAAACACAATTTAAGCAGAAAAAAATACAAACATGAAATGTTTCTTTGATGAAATTTCTAGAAGCCATCAGTAAGGTAGCAAACTAACCCCCATGCGCCACATCTGCTATAAGACAAGCACAGAGGAGGGGGTGTAGGAACCCCAGATTTGTAGCAGTCATTCAGAAGTGCAGGATGTCTAGGACTTGTGATTAGCATCTGAAGTGGGGGCAGTCAGGGGGACTGAGCCCCTAGCCTGTGGGGTCTGCACCAGCTCAGAGCAGAAGTTAATGTCAAAATTAAATTGAGCTATGGGACACCCAGTTGGTGTCCAGGAAGTTGGAAAATTGCTTGGTATGGGAACCAGCCCCCTCCCCACACATTTTGTATCAGAAGTGTGGATACCAGTATAGTGTATTATATTTGAGTTAAATTTATAAATACATACACCTAACACCAATAATTGTTAAAGATATTTTAAAAACGGCAGACTCACCTATAATGCAAATATAATGCAAAAATACCCAAATAGACCCTGGCTGGTTTGGCTCAGCAGTTAGAACATCAGCCCTCGGACCAAAGAGTCACAGGTTCAATTCCTGTTAAGGGCACGTACCTCGGTTGCGGTTGGGTCCCCGGCCCTGGTCGGGGTGGTGCGAGAGGCAACCGGTCAGTGTGTCCCTCTCATGTCAATCTCTCTCTCTATCTCTCTCCCACTCTATCTGAAGATAAAAATGGAAAAAAGTATACTTGAGTGAGGATTAAAAAAAAACAAAAAACACACACCCAAATGGGACAATAACATATGCACTTAGGTAAGTATCAGAGCAATATACTGTAATAAAGTACGAAACACTAGAAAATTGATGCAATTCAAAACAATGCTTGTATCAATGGTTGCTGAAAATAAATGTTATTTTATTTATTAATTAAGCATTTATATGACCTTTAGCCTATGCATAACGTACAAAGACTTTATGATTGATAGGTAATTTAATGCTCATAATAATCTTGCAAAATATTTACTATTATATGCAAAAAAATTTGCACAAGAAGAAATTGAAACAAAGAAAGGTGAAGTATTTTGTCCAATATCACACAGATGAGACATTGTGAAGATGGGTTTCAGACTCAGGCATTCTATCTCCAAAATCTGAACTCCTGACCACTGTGCTATTCTTCCTATTAAATAGTTAAGTATCAAGAACTTATATGCAGACATGCATAAACAATGGACATAGAGAACAATTCTGTGAAGGGGGGGGGTGGGAGCAGGGAGGAGGGTGTCAATAGGGTAAAAGGAGAAACATTTGTAACAAAAATAAATTTCAAACATTGCAAGAGTGCCTGTAATTTCATTTGCTCTGTGTCTTTATACCTAGAAAAACCAAGAAAATGAAGCACAAATACCTAAATTTAGTACTAGAATACTGTTATATGACTAGATAAAAGGTAAAGAGAAATAAATAGCTTTTATTAATATAGTAATAAACCCCTAAAAATCTAAGTATTCCTCCTTATTGGTAATAATGGCTACACACTACTTAGGATTAAATTTAACAAAAAAGGCAGAAGTTCTGTATGATGAACCTATATGGTCTTATGAAGAATACAATCAGATAAAAAGGAATTAGAATACATACACTCTGGGATGGCACAGATTTAGTATCATAAATATGTTAATTTTAAAAATAATATATTTAACACAATTCCCATTCAATTCTGACTTCTGAAAAAATGAATGAAGTCATCCTGATGCTCATATGAAAGGAAACAAGATAATACTAAGAAAATATGATAAAGAAGAATGTGTGATCATTTTGCTGTGACAGAGGACACATCGTTAAGTCACCATAATCATGTCAGAAGGCACTGCTGTAAAAACAGATAGTTAGGTCAGTAAGTGCAACAGAGGAGAGAATTTAGGACTACATCCCATTACTTGTGGAACTGAATGTATGGCAAGCCTAGTATTTCAACTTAGCAAGGGGAGAATAGTTTACTTAATAAATTCTGATGACAAACTATCCAGCTATTGAAAGGAAATAAAGTTTGTTCCTACCCTATACTAATAAATTTCCTGGTGAGTTAAAATTTTAATTATAAAAATAAAAAGAATAGATAAAATAAAAGGTTTTGAGAGGACCTTCATAATTAAGACAAGCAGAAGCAATGAAAATAAATATACTTTACCATATAAGATTTTAAAAAATATTAGATTAGATTTGTGAAAAATGTAAATCAGAAGATAGATGCAGGATTGTCTATAATACACAAATTATTTTTATAAATTGACAAGAAAAATATAAATAACCCAGTAGATAAATGGATATTAATAGACAATGCAAAAAGAGGAAAAACAAGTAGCCCATACACCCACAGGTTCTCAACCTCCCTAATACCGCGACCCTTTAATACGGTTCCTCATGTTGTGGTGACTCCTAACCATCAAATTATTTTCGCTGCTACTTCATAACTGTGATTTTGCTACTGTTATGAACCGCCATCTGGAAATATGTGTTTTCCGATGGTCTTAGGCGACCCCCTGTGAAAGGGTCATTCGACCCCCAAAGGAGTTGTGACCCACAGGTTGAGAAACCGCTGACCGAGAGTGAAATGCTCAAAATCCTTAATGGTAAGAAAATTACACATTAATTTTCCCTTCCCACTTGCATATTTTATTTTATTAAGACTCTACATTTTGTTTATTCATTCCTCGATGGACAATTGAATTGTTTCTATTTTTGGCTATTGTAACTAGAACTGCTGTCCACATTGGCAAGTCTTATTCCTCTTTTTATAATTTCTTTTAATAACAGTTGACATACAATATTATATTAATTTCAGGGGTACAAGCCAGTGATTAGACATTAAATAATTTACTGTGATCACCCTAATAAATCTAGTACCCATCTGACACCATACATAAATATTACAATATTATTGACTATATTCCCTATGCTGTACTTTATATTCCTGAGACATTCTGTAATTATCAATTTGTACCTCTTAATCCCTTCATCTTTTTCACCCATACCCCCAATCCTCTCCCATTTGGCAACCATGAAATTGTTCTCTGTATCTATGAGTTTGTTTATGTTCTATTTGTTCATTTATTTTGTTTTATAGATCTGTTTTATCTGGTGCAACTACTGCTACAAGAGCTTTTGTTTGTTTATTTCCATTTTCATAAAATATCTTTCTCCATCCCTTTACTTCCAGTCTGTGTTTATCTTTCAATCTGAAGCAAGTCTCTTGTAGACAGCATATGTCAAAGTCTTGTTTTGTTATCCATTCAGCCACTGTATGTCTTTTGATTGGAGCATTTAATCTATTTGCATTTAAAGTAATTGTTAATAGATATGTATTAATTGCCATTTCATTATTCATATTTTAATACTTCCTCCCCTCCTCCTCCACTTCCTCCTCCTCTTTCTTCTTCTTTTTCTTCTTCAAGAAGACCCTTTAACATTTCTTGTAGTGCTGGTTTTGTTGTGGCACGAGAGAACCGAGAAACCACCAGAGCCAAACTAAAACCAAATAGAGAGCAAAGCTGGCTGGCGACTGATCCCGAGTTCTTGGAGACCAGCCCTGGGGCTTTCAAATGTTGTGTTGCGACAGAGTCAAAGAAAGACCACTAGAGAATTGAAGCCAAATAAGAGGCGTTTATTAGCCTGCCGGCATCTAATTCTGAACACCCCTGTGACAGAGTCTTTGGAATCAGCCCTGATATGCTTTATTACATGCCTTTTATACCTTACAGAAAAGAGGATCTTCTTGATATAATGCCCAGGGCTACAGCAATGCTGTATAGAATTAGTTTGCCTTACGGATAACAGGAGCACCCAGGAACACCCAGGACACACAGGCACACCCAGGACACCCAGACGCACCCAGGAACACCCAGGCACACCCAGGAACACCCAGGCGCACCCAAGAACACCCAGGCACACCCAAGAATACCCAGGCACAACCAGGAACACCCGGGCGCACCCAGGTATTTCAGGTATTTCAAGGTACATTGGGTCACTATTAGCTACGAGCTGCACAGACACAATGTGAGCCTAATTCCTTGAGATTGTGGGGAAGGTCAAGTCTCTGACTCAAGACCTCCAGGCTCTGTGGACTCTGTCAGACACGAAGCTGGCTCTCAACAATTTCTTGCTTCAGGGAGCATTCCAATTTACTGAGGTTATTTTGACTAAACAGGTTCAACTAGAGGGGTCACAATGACTTTCTCAATCTATTATGGAGCAGCACAATAATTTACCAATTGTGGGGTTATTGACATTTCAGCACAGTTTTATGGTGATCAACTTTAACTTTTTCTTCTCTGCAAAGCTCTTTATCTGTCCATCAATTCTAAATGACAGCTTTGCTGGTTAGAGTAATTTTAGTTCTTGTTTTTCATCACTTTGAATGTTTCTTGCCATTCCCTTCTAGACTGCAAAGTTTCTGTTAAGAAATCAACTGACAGTCTTATGGGAGTTTCCTTGTAGGTAACTAACTGCTTTTCGCTTGATATTGTTTTTGTTTGTTAATCCTCACCTGAGGATATTTTTTCATTGATTTTTAGATAGAGTGGAAGGGAGAGAGGATAGGAAAAATAGAGAGAAAGATGTGAGGAGACACATTGCTTGGTTCTTCCTGCATGACTCTGACGAGGCTCAGGGGTCAAACCTGCAACCAAAGTACATGTCCTTGACCAGGAATTGAACCCAACATGCTTTAGTCCACA